TTTTTTCATTTTCTTTTGTTTTTAGTTCGTACTGAGTGATCAGGGGGTGACCGCACCCCTTTCACACCTCCCACAACCTCCCCTTGCTGAAACATCCCCCACCCGACATGTTTCAGCCCATCCGCAAATGCGTCAAAAGCGTTCACACGCGTTCAACGCATTCAAAAACTGGACACGGAACCCACGTTCATTGAACGTGTGGTTACATAGCTAACGGATGGATCAAGCCCACTACTGGACCATGGTCATTTCCCGTAATCCTAGTTCCGAAGAAAGATGGGTCGATTCGCATATGCATCGATTATAGGAAGTTGAATAACATCACGATCAAAGATGTGTACCCCCTCCCCAGGATTGATGACCTGTTGGATACGATTGGGTGTGCTAGATATTTTAGTAAGTTTGATATCCGCCATGGGTTCCATCACATCCTGGTTAAGCAGGAGGATCGGTCGAGAATGGCGTTTATGTTATTTGAAGGCAGTTGGCAGTGGGTTCGCTACCCCATGGGAATATGCAATGCACCGGGTACCTTTCAGAGAGCGATAAACATCACCTTTCAGAACTTCGTCAACAAGACCCGACTAACCCAGGGATTGATCAACTTCTGCGTCATTGTGTATATGGATGATATCTTGGTGTATTTTGAATCGTTTCACGGACATGCTCAACACATCGAGTGGACGCTCGGGGTGCTGCGAGATCCTTGGTTCAAGATTGTGCTGGAGAAAAGTGAGTCTTTCCTTCCGAAAATCTCGTTCCTGCAGTATGTGGTGACACGAGGAGGCTTGAGGCCATATTCGAGAAATGTTGAGGTGGTTTAAGAAGCTCTCACACCCACGTCGCAAACGCAAGTTCGAGCCTTCATGGGGCTGGCCTCGTATTACCGGCGATTTATCAAAGGTTTTGCGGGAATCGCTTGGCCCCTAACAAACCTTCTATGGAAGGACCAACCGCTGAAGTGTCACGCGGAGTGCGAACGGGCCTTCATGACTTTGAAAGAGGCCTTTGCATCTGCACCTATTTTGATTCGTCCCGATCCCGAAAAGCAATTCATCCTCATCACAGACCTGTGTCCTGAGGTGATCTCCACTATTTTGGCTCAGAAGAGGAAGGACGGCCGCGAGCACGTCATCGAGTATGCTTCGCCAACTGTGACGGACGAGACTATGAAGGATTCGGCCCCTCAGGGAGAATGCTACGCGGTCGTTTTGGGGATTCAACACTTTCATCCGTATCTGTACGGACAGAAGTTTCTCCTTGTCACGGATCACGAGCCCTTGTTGGTTGTCAAGAGGCTCACCAACTACACAGGCATGATCGGACGATGGGTTGTCCGGCTACAAGAGTATGACTTCGGCACATTCATCAGTCGGCCGAGCAAGGTGGCCAAAGGTGAAGAGATCACTCTGTGGAAAGCGCCAGAGCCAGTCAAGGGACCCCAGTAGAGCGGAGTGGCCATTCTTCCCTGGGCCTCCAAGAAGTGACACGTGGACATAATGGCGGCAGGTAACTCCAGGGGCCCTCTTTTTCCCCTCTCATCTTCTTCTTTTCTCTCCTTGCCTAATAAATTTTGTTATTTTTGTGAAGCAATATCGCGAGTCTATTCGGTTTCTAGGTGTCCTAGTGGGGAAGGATACGTCCAGTGGGTAGACTGTGGATGGTGTGTCTCTCGGGCCCATGGATCCTGTATCCAATACAGAAACACGGATAATGTCTGGTTATGTATTTGTGTCGAACCGATAAAATCCCAACGGAGGCTCGATTCCTCGAGGCCATGTCTAAAGGGTTAGAAAAGACAAGCAGATTTCGAGGAGCGGAAGTACGGACGGATGTCGTTTTAATAGCCATAGTAGTCGGGAACTCCCTTCGAGAATTCACCAAGGAGGATCGGAGGCGAGCTAATGAGAGGTCACTGGATTATCGATGGAACGACGGACGGTTAGAAAAACGAAAGACTTATGGTAGTGGGAATTGGATGTCGGTGCCTCATCCGTTCATGAGGTACGATAAGGTTAAGTCGGCCCACGAAGAAACCGCCGCTCACTTTGCTGTCAGGATCACGGAGGCAGCAATTAACAAAAACGAATGGTATTGGTCCGATATCCGAGACGATGTTAAATTCATCGTTAAAAATTGCCTGGTCTGCGCAAAAGAAAAGGCATCAATTCAGCCGCCTAGTTCGATAGTGCCCTACGTAGCACCGTATTCTCGTTTGGAAGCGAACACGAACATGTTCGCCCGAACGCGAACAACCGCCCAAAACCCTCCGAACGCGAACATAAAAAATATTTAAAAAAAAAAAAAAAAACCATTCTCAGAAAAATCTGAAAGAAAATATATGTTATGTAAAATAACAATACAAGCAACTTTTGCCTTGGAGTCATGTTCAAATTCATAGCCAATCATGAGTTACAAATCAAAAAACAAAACAAATATATATATATATATATATATATATATCGAAAAAAAATTGTGTTCGCCCGAACATGTTCGCAAGCTGTTCGCGCGAACGCGCAAACACGTTCGCGTGAGAACATGAAGGGGCGCGAACACGTTCGCCATGCTACACAGATAGTGCCTACCATAGTCGAGCGACCGTTCCAGAGGGTTAGCACGGATACGACGGATATTGTCGTACCCCCTAGACCAAATAGCTGTGAATATTCAGTCCTTCTGGTATTCGTGGATCATTTCTCAAAATGGATTGAAGCTTACCCCTGTAAAACGCAACAGACGGAGAATATTGTGCGATATGTCAACCGCTTCCTCGAAATGCATCAAGACACCGAGGAAATCCTAACGGACAATGGGGCAGAATTTCGAGGAGAGGTCTTGAGAAGCCTAGTCGTACATAGCGTCCCTATTCGCAATACGGCCCCCCATATGTCGCAATCGAATGGACTTGTAGAGAATGCGAACCGGGTGATTAAGACCGCTCTGCGGTGAAATATCGCAGCACGGGATACGAGGCCTTGACACAATATCGTTGACCATATCCTAGCTATCCACCGGGGGACCCCTCATGAGTTCACTGGCCTGACCCCTTTCGGTTACGGACCAATAGTCTGGTTTGTGTAGCTCTGTCGAGCCTAGCTGACAAGACGACCCTTGCACGACGAGCCAGGAGAGCGACGGTCAAAGACAAGGCTCAACACCACTTAGAATTCATGGAAAAGGCCCTCCCCAGGTTAACCTGAAAAAGACAGTGGATGACCGAAATGGCCCACGAACGACATGTCCGAAGCTATAAGGCCGGGAATGGGAAAGCTGGACCTCGGCCCCTGTATAAATTAGGGCCCATAGTGCAGGTAAGGAAATGTGCCTACCAAGGCAAGTTAGCCCCACGATTCTTCGAGCGATTTCTCGTAGTCGAGCTCGGTCCTTGCGGAGTGAACACAGTGCAGCTTGCGCTGGAGGTCTCAGGAAGCCGATCAGCTCGACCGATCATTCGACGCATGTCCTACCTCCAACCCTTACCTCCTTCTCCTTCTCCCCCATTGTCTACGTCATCCTTCGATCCTGAAGAAGAAGGCGATGACCTCGAACTCGACTACTCTGACTCCCCCTCCTCTCAACCTTCATCTCTACCTTCTTCCCCATCGCCATGAGCTTTTCTACCGAGCAGGTCATCAGCAAGCGTCTAATGAGACCTAGGGGGCATATTTCATCAATCCGGCAAGTGCATTGGTCACGATTGAGTCCCGATCTGCTTCAATTCGCGGCTTCCTTCAGCACGGCGGCCATCCATGCGGCGACCGAATTTCGGTTTGCACGAACCAGTGATCGGACGCGGATGTTGGCCGAGGTGTCGGCTTTTGTGTGGCTGTCTCCACCAGGCGTTAGCCACGTGTTGGTTAACGTCGCCTTCACCGACGATCTTACGACAGTGCATCCTGCGTCTCATACGGGCGTCCTCCAACAATAACGACTCTGGGCGAGCGATCTCACGGCTGCCTGGGTCCAGCTGTTAGCGTAGCCTAACGATCGGATCAACTCCACAGACGACATCGATCTCAGTCAGCTCCGACTCTCTCTTGACGCGCCGGAGGTCATTATCCTGGAGCTTCTCCCCTCCGCACCGCCTCAATGAACGGGCACCACCTCTCGACCTTCAGACTTCCGTCTGATCTCCCTACCTTCTGGGAGTCCGCGACGGACGCCCCTCTTTCTTTTCGGATCAAGCAGTTGGACGTGCCAATCTTGAACGTGGGCAAGTGGGTGGAGTGGTGGCACGAGTACGTCACGATGCTCAGTTTCTACCTTCTCGGGGTGGTGTTCCATTCGGTTGGTCTTGTCGATAAAGAAGAGGAAGACGAAGTCCTCGATGACGAGGTGAAACTGCTGATCGTCCAAGCCTGGAGAACGGATACGAAGGGAGAAATGTTGGGGATTTTGTTCGTGAAGGTCAGGGATGGCCATTTGGAGCCCATCACGGGGGAAGTTCTAGTGTTCCTGGCACAACTCCTAGACGACCTGCCTCTGGACGTTCTTTCGAGGTGCGACGAGCAGTCCGCGCTAACCACGCTCACCCGAATGCTAGCGCCGCATCTGTTGTGGTCCACGTGCACCGAGATAGACGAAGGCAATTGCTATTATCCCTCCTCATGCCATTATCTGGTTATTGACATGACTGATCTCACCTTGTGGGATCCGATCATTCGACGGGTGGAGATGGAAGGAGTAGCTGACGACGCAGAGGCCGAGGAAGAGAGAGAGGAGGAAAGCGAAGAGGAAGAAGAAGACTCGGGGGCTGAAGTTGACGATCCCGATTACCACGAGTCAGAAGAAAGTGAGTTGGGAGGGAGTGAGTCAGGCGGATCAGGCAGCCCCAACGAACAGAGTAAGGAAGAGGACGAGGCTGCAACACAAAGGATATGAGAAAGTGCACAAGGAAAGCAGCCCATGGAGGAATCGGTTGGACTAGCAATGCGGCTGTCACAAGGTGATCCGGGACGCAACCCCGAGCCACCGCAGGAGGTATCTGGAGAAGATGGCCTCGCTCCTGCGGAGGGATCCAGAAGTAGACGCCGTAGAAGAAGTCCAACGCCGGCTCAATCCTTTCCACCTTTGCGGCCCACCATTTGCCTACGTGGAAATGCAGGCGCTCGGGCTTCGTCCCCGGTCCTTATCCCGCCGTCCTCTTGATTTCCTCTCCATCCATCAGCTCTCGGGTTGACCCCCGTTTCCTTCCAACTAGCATCCTTTCCCCCCTTCCCTTTTTCACCAGCTCTTCTCCACCTGCCTCATCATCAACGTCTTCCCGCACGCCACCACTTGCTCTATCGTAACCTCCTTCCCCCTCCACGTCCTTCTCTTCAGGGCGGCCTGGCAGGAACATAACAAGATAGAGGTCTATTGCATAATTTTTGGCACCATCCCCGTATGAGAAGATTATGAAAATTTCCGCGCTGCGAGTCCCCGCACCCTTTGCACCCTCTGTCCTGCCTACCTCACCTCCCTCCCTCACTAGGATCATCGCTTCCCTCGCATCCACTGCACCGTCCATTACGCTCAGCTCCCCACTGGAGACCAAGAACGAAGTCGCTTCCTACCACCTCTCCCCCAAGCTCACCCTCCTCTTCCTCCACCCGTCATAAGACTACCTTTCCCCGACAACCTCTAGGTCTGAAGCGCTCGAATGCCACCTTGGATGACTTCCACACTCTCATCTTATGGTAAGTGGCACGTGTCGGTTCCACGACGATCGTCGGCATATTCTACGGACAGGTGAATGGCGGAGAGCAAGCAGGAGCTTGCTCAAGATTGGAACCCCATGGGCATCACATATATAACGGATTGTTTTCTACAGCCGTGCGGTTTTCTGCGCAAGGCTATTTCGGGGGATGTAATTGGCTGAGTCGGGATGGCCTGGTGGATTGCATGGATGTCCCTACTTTTTCTTGTCTCTTTCGAATGAAGGTTGGCCCGGTCCCGCGACGGTTGATAGTTGATCACGCCTCATCGAGCGCGACGAATAAATGTTGCCATAGCGTCTTTCTTGTTCTACTGTGGGAAATGAGAATTTCAGCGGGATTATCGCGCGGGAAAATCTTTTTGAATTTTCAACTGATGTCGAGGCCCTGTGGGCTCCCGGAATTTGCTTTGTTCGGATTTTCTTTTTGCAATTAGGATTTAGATTAGGAATTTGAGCGAATCTCAATTTCTGTTGCACGGCGCTTTCTGCTTGCGCACGCTTGGCAGCGTCAGGATCTGTGTTCTGACTTTTCCGCGCCTTAATCTTGCGTGTAATTGTAATTTTTGTTTTGGCAGGCGTGACTGCATCTTCTTCCGCCTACTCGGACACAACCCCGGGTATCACGTGCAGGCATGCATGCTATAAATTTTGCAAGGACGATTGACTCACTTTCTAAGAGCTACTGGAGTTAGCAAGGTCGAAAGGATCGGCTTTCGCAGGTGAGTAGAGACAGTTGGGCGATCCGACGAGCTGATGGTGGGCATGTGGGGTTGACGTGAGGCTGCGACGGACTGTGGCACACGGGCGAACCTGGCTTGCATGCTCAGATCAAGCGGGTTGACAATTATGTGTGGGTGCGCGGCGACGGACTGCCCGCATCGGGGTGATGAGAAGAGATAGAGAGAGAGAGAGGAGAGAGAGAGAGAGAGACGGGAGGTGTGTGATGAGCTCATTCTTTTATTCTTCTAAGCAATTTTAACTCTTCTTCTATCCTTCTGAGCAATTTTGGTATTCGATGCAAGTCGCCCTTTGTCCTTTTTTATCGCATCTCAGATCTTTCGTTTGCTTTCCTCGGACATTGATGAATAGTTGTCTTCTTCCAGCCCCCCTTCTCTTTTTGAATCGGCGGGTTTAATTGATTGGTGCCCGACGATCGGGCCCCTCCATGGTTTTGGGCTTACTGGGCAGAAAACTGTTGCATAAGGATCCTCAATTCCTTTTGTTCATGTGTATGTATGTGCGTGAAGATGAATGCATGAATGTCATGTGTAGTCCTGTCTGTGTACGAACTAGATATGCATGCTAGATGATTAAGAGGTTTGTCTCATCATAGGACAATCCATCCCGCGAACAACTAACTTTCTCCCATCTGATTGAAGGAGGTCTCGTGCACGCACGTGTAGGCTCGACCAAGCATGATCGCTGCCTACACGCGTGTCTGAAAAACCTGAACTCGATCGATTTCCCGGATGTCTAAATGCCCGCCCGCCCTATAGTATGAATTTCGAAATCTCTTTTCATATCATCGACCGGGGGTGTTTGAGAGATCGGGAATTCCGGGGATATTGGGAACGCTCCTGTTTGTCAACCCGATCGAGGGCGGACCCGCGAACTTTCCTCGGGAACCGAACGTATTTGCGAGTGGGATCTCGACCGGGCTATGGGACGTATCCCCCATCTCCTGAGCTACTCTAGCCCCTACACGTGTTACGTCGTCGCGGAACTCGGGATCATTATCTTAGGGACCGAGTTTCCTCCCTATCACCGCATTTTGCCCTACCACACCCTAATCATCGTTCTTTGGCTCACCATCCCCCCCTACTGACCCCAACGCTCGTGCTCGGAGTGTCTGCAGGACCATGAGTACTGAGCCTCCGGCTTCATCCGGCGAACTCTCTCGGAGGAGGAATGATGGGCACACAGCTTTCGGCTGAGACTGGCCGCGTCTGATTCCGAGACCTGCGATGTTCGGCGCCGACAGGTGATCAGCCAGCGAGATAGACATACCATCCCAACGGTCCACCAGATACGAGACCGACCCAGGCGACGGACCCAACGGAGATGATAGCTCCGCCTTCCGAAGCATGAAACCCGATCCGCACCTATCCACCTACCTTCGCATCCCTGAAACTTGCCACCGGAGATCTCAGTTCCGACCTCGGACTCCACCCCACTTTCCAAAAATCCTTGGCACACCCCTTTTCGCACTTCCAGGTCCACCCACACTCCGATCAGGAAGTCGCGCCGGGCGTGAGGTTTGGGTGTCACGTAGTATCTGCGGTAGGGACAGGTATGGGCCACCGGAGTTCCTACTGATATTCGGGTAGAACTCTCTAGTGGCTATATATAAGGCTTAGACCCTGGGGTAAGGGAAGGGGTATAATATTCGCTCAGGCCAGTCCGAGTTCCGCCTGGCCTTGGGTAAGCTAGGAAGGACGGTAAGACTGCTTCAATGGGTGCTACCCTGTCTGAAACCTAGGGCCCAGAGTCTCTTGTGGCCTGTAGTAGATTGTCTGGGCCTGGCGTCCGAAGTTCCCGTTCGGCAAGGCTCATCCACTTCCGCTTCCACCAAGGCTGGGCAACCTATCAGCCCTGGTGCCTATCACTGCTGTTCGGTCCAAGTTACCTGCCCATTGGTAGGGTAATGATGGTCCTGAGTGCCGGTCACACTGAGGTAGGGTAGTGGGATAGGGGGTGCGCTAGGAGTATTGACGTGAGGATGGGATGGGAGGTGGTCTCATATTCCAGGACACCCACGGCCTACTGCTCCAGGTGATCACAGTGTACTCGGGTGACTGGCCTCTACAATACCATGGAAAGCAGCCGTGAAAAAAAACAGAAAAAAAAAAAAAAACAGAAAAAAAAAATAGAAACGCCACACTGGATTCTGATTGAGCAGGTTCAAGTAAAATCCACTTTCAATAGTGTATGAAACTAAAACTTCACCCCGGCCTTCTCTTTTTTTTTTTTTTTTTTTTTTTTTTTTTYTTCACTCTTCTCTCAACTTCTGTTTCTTTTGCCTTCCATTACCTACTCCTAAGACTATCTAGAGGGGACCCCTGCAAGGATAGTTTTCCTCTCTCTGTGAATGGGAGATTTCATGTTGCCCCTTGCCCCTAATGGTTAGGGTATAGGGTTGGGGCCGCCAGTAGGGGTCTGGCTAACACAAAGACCTAGACCTGCCAGTAGCTGTGCCTCCCTTTCTCATCGTCCCCCACCCTTCATCAAGTAGCAGCAGAGGCTATGGCCAACACTCTCCCACACACCACATTGCTTTATAATGGAATTAAGTTTAGAAAAAAAAAAAAAAAAAAAAAAAAAAAAAAAAAAAACCTAGAACTTCAGAGGGTCTACTGTAGAGATTCTCTGTAGGCCTCTGTCTGCCAGTGTATGCTAAGCTGGCTGATGCTGTCAGTACTCCGGGTTGAATTGTGAGGTCCCCGGCCTGGAGCAGCATTGAGCTTCCTGAACGACTGAACATGGACGTGCTTGTGGAGATGTGCAGAAATCGAGTTGAGTTTCCTCAATGGCACCTGTCCACAAACAGGTCCAGATTCAGGCGATGAGGAAACTCAAACCTACTAGTGGCACTTGGCCCCCGTTGGTCCGGCCCTCAGGTACGACTGCCCTTTTTTTGGGGGGGGGTAAGTTCAGTAGAGTCACAAAAACGAGTTATAATTGCACTATGGGGCAAAATACAGTTTGCAATTTCACTCCGAGCGCCCTACCTGGCCAGAAAGGTGGGTTGTATACACCAAATGGAGTCTTTCCTTTACAAGCTGAGAATAGGCCCAGGCGTCCATCACATCAATAGCTCTGGCCCACAGGGATAAGCCAGGCTCACAGGCCAGGCATAACCCCAAACATAGCAAAAATCTCACCCCCGTCACAATCCTGTAATGAATAGCTCCAACCCTACCACACACCTCTGCTTCCTTTTTTTTTTTTTTTTTTCCCCTTTCACGGCTGCTTTTTTGTTCCTCAGGAAAGGGTTTTCCAGGGAAGGCGAAACCTTCTGCTGTTATTCGGTTGGGGGTGGGGGACGATGAAAAGGGAGGCGCAGCTACTGGCAAAATGCTCGGTCTTTGCGTTAGCCGGACCCCCACCGGCGGCCCCACCCTATCCTTGACCACCATGGTTGGGGCGGGGGGCAACATGCATCCCCTCTGGTGGCTGGAGGGAGACAACAAAGCTATGTTTGCAGGGGTCACCTGTATAAGTAAGCCTTAGGAGTAGTGGTGGGTAGGTAGTGAAGGTGAATTGAAAGAATTTGAAAATGATGAAAGATTTGAGAGAAGAGCAGGGGTCCCCTCTATATAGTCTTAGGCAGGTAGGTAGTGTGAGGTGAATTTGAGAGAAGAATATAGCTTTAAAAAAAAGAGAGAAGAATATAGGGTAGTTTTTTAAATCCAGCAGCCTAGCTCAGTTGGTAAGGCTCGCAAGTGGCATTCAGGAGGTCATGGGTTCAATCCTCATTGGCCTCATGCCTTCCTGGGCTTACTTGGCACCCGCTACCCAAGAGATAGACCACTGGATCCCCCGATCCGCATCAAGCAGAGTCTGCTATGTTCGTAGGGGAGGGGCCTGAGGGGAGGCAGGGGGATTGGTCCGCTTTATCCCTGGTGCTACCGGCCGTCCCCTGGCCGGTATCCTGCAGGCTCGAGGGGCCGTAAAAACACGGCTCTGGTATGCTACGGGTTTCCCCGTATGGGTAGGAGTAGTGGTAGGTAGGTAGTGTGAGGAAAAAAATGAGAGAAGAGTATAGTTTAAAAAAAAAAAAAAAAGAAAAAAAAAAAAACTTCTGCCGAAGTCTGCTTATCTGCATTTCCGGGCCGGCGTCTCAAAGAGGCCCGTGTTTCCTATACGACGGGGCGTCAGTAGACCCTTCAAAAGACGGGCCTATATCAGTTTGTACACCAATGTTCCGGTGAAAAAAAGACGCGAGTTCGAACCCGCGTGTACCCTCCAGAAGTTGTCACAAAGAGATTTGCTCTATAACTATAATTTTTATTTTTATTTTAAAAAAAAAACAACACATGACTTATTTATTTCTCAACAGCAGATCGAGGCCGGGGACCTCACAATTCAACCCGGTGTTATCCTGGCAGCATCAGCCAGTTTAGCTTACAGTCAATAGACTGAGGAACAATCATTACTTTCTTCCAAACAAAGAAAATCTACTTAACTCAAAAAAATACTAGAAAACATTACTCAACAGCAGATCGAGGCCGGGGACCTATAACTATAATGTCTTATCGCCGGCAAAAGTGCACGAGGGCGGGTGGCGAAAGAATAGTACGCCAAATGAGCTGGGCACGCAGATGAATATCGCCTACACTTCCAGGCGAAAAGGGCTTAGGTGCCTCGCAAGTCAAGGGGGAAAAGAGCGCGGGGGGGGGCAATGAAGTCGGGGAGAATAGGACAGGGGGGAGGGCGAGTGGGTAATCGAACAGAGGACGAGGAGAGAAGATTGATGAAAGAGAGAGCAAGAAGGATTATATAGTAGTAGTTGTTTAAAAGTGTCATTTCTGGTGTTGGTGGATCGGTGGTGGTATTTGTGGAGCGGTTCGGGTGCTCTCTCTCTCTCTCTCTCTCTCACACACACACACACGCACACACACACACGCACACACACACACCCTCTCTCTCTCTCTCTCTCTCTCTCACACACACACACACACACACACACACACACATATTAACATGAACAGCGTATCGCTCCTAGGCGAGCGCAGGCGCATCCGGATACGGAAGGAGTGGGAGCAAATTGAGAATGATCCAGTTCCGTTATGCACCGTTAGTGTTGTCGACAACGATACCGGTCATTGGCAGGCAGTGATGGAAGGCCCTCCCGACAGTCCGTATGTGGGGGGTGTTTTTTCCCTGGCAATCAATTTTCCACCTGATTATCCTCTAAGCCCGCCCGACATTCGCTTCGAGACGAGGGTTTTTCATCCCAACGTAACGAACGCTGGCATCATCGCTCTTGATATTTTGGATATCCAAAAAAATTGGAGTGTTCACTTGACAGTGCCCAAGCTTCTTAAAGCAATTTCCTCGTCTCTGGTAGATCCAGTTGTTGAGGGCATTGAGGAAGACGCGTCTGCCAACCCTGAGAGTGCCCGCATGTTCAAGTCAGACAGGGCAACGTACGAAGAGACCGCGCGAAGCTGGACGCAGCAGTATGCTACGGGTAGATCGTATGGACCACGTGCAATGGTTGAGACTTTGATATCCTACCTGCGAGATCATTTGTGGCATCCACGGGACGATAATATTGTGTAGGAGCAGGAGAGGCGAACTTGAACGAGGATAGGGGGGCAAAGGAGGATCGGGTAGGAGAGGGAGAGGCTACACAGAATAGGAGGGCAAAGAGGGTAGGAACCCCTTTTGGAACTCGCTGACATGTTAGGAAGCAATCCTACCATTAGTTTTCATCAATACTCTTCTTTCTCCACGTTTCCCCCGCCCCCCCCCTCCC